GCCAAATTCTAAGACAAATCAAAAACATGTAACGTGTTGTGCAAATTCTTGAAATTTGATAAAAACAAGCAAGTTTCATCTGTGAGCAACAGCATAAAATGAAACCATATTGTAAATGACAACGAAATCAGGCTATATATATTTTAATGGAGACCAACTACCTCAATTAGTGTCTATGTTACTGATAGGAAATTAACGACTGCACGTGTTACTTCATCACTTCAAATCAGGCTAAACATATAAACACATCCATATATCTTGTTTTTATCACTGTTATTTGTAATATTTCGATATGTGTATTGATGAAAAAGTTCATATATCATTTCCTCGCCCATAACTCATACATACAGACATCAAATATGGCTCTTAGCGTGTGAACAATAGGAAACTTGATGCAGTTGCCATGGTTGCAAATAACCGAAGGCGATACATTAATGAATTGATAATAATACAAATGAATACAAACCCACCTGTCTGTGATCTACTAATTGAACGAATCCTTTTAGCGAATTTATTTTAGGGTGGAATAACAACTTTAAAGCGGGGTGAGTCGCCACCTGCGCATGCGTCAGATGGCCATAGCGTGTCATTGTTTACAAACAAGCGTCTACCCATGAGCCTTTGCGTTTTTAGCGTGTGTTGTTATCGTCGCTTGGAACTCAATTCCCGCGCGTGCGCAGGTGACGGCCCTCCCGCTTTAAGCCTTGAGTGCTATTTCCGTAATAATCCTTGAGAGCACTAATTAAACGCCATATGTCTGCACTAATTATAACATATACTGATCTACATTTTAATATAATATATATAATGTAAACATATACACGTATGTAAACATCACAACCACATAGGTATACAATGCAATATTTTGCCACTCCATACTACTTACACTGTTTAGTTGCAAATGGCCGCCGAAATCTCGTTGAGAGCGAGGGTACCGCGAGACTTGTTTCCGTCCTTCAATTACTGTTAATTTTTTCGCAACATCGCGTCCGCTGTTCCGAATACCATGGTTACGCAGGTCAGTGGAACAGTCTACGTTATGACTTGGAAAATAAAGTGTGTATGGTCTATTAGTACGATAAATCGCCAGCGGTGATTGGCTGCCGCGTAATGAATTAAAGCTACGGTCGCACCTCTCGTTTCGTCCCTCCGCTGTCGGTGTAGGGCCAGCTAGCTTTGAGACACCACTAACGAGAGTATACGATAGAATATCTCTGAGTGCGACAGTGTATTATAAGAAATACCTCAAATCCACCATACTTAAACTTTACCCGACGTGATTTTCAGTTTCTCAAAACTCTACATTATTTTTTTCCCTGAATAAACGTGTTTTCATGACCTGTGCAATGTATTGCACTTAAATAATCACCGTATGGTCTATATTTGTAGCTGTACTTTCAGTGATTGGTAACAGTGTCGTACTTGAAATGTTTCGCCGTTATAAAGAACTATTATCGCCATCTGCTATTCTTCTTATTAGCCTGGCTCTTGCTGATCTAGGTAAGTTTCCTATTACGTGACTTTTAATGAAACGCATTTTAATGATTTTGTCGTCATAAAAGATTACGAAGAACACTAAATGTAACGTTTTTTTGTGATTTGTACAACAAACTGAAGAAACGATAGAGAACATTCAAACAGTCTAAATGTAATAATCTAAGCAAGTATCCAACGTCATCAGTCACGTGATATCCGTCCATTTCAACGATATTGTCTGGGCTTAAAATAATCCTAGTGACCGACAACACAATTTCAGTTTTAAAGCGGGGGAGTCGTCACCTGCGCATGCGTCAGATGGCCATAGCGTGTCATTGTATACAAACAAGCGTCTACCTATGAGCCTTTGCGTTTTTAGCGTGTGTTGTTATCGTCCGAGTCGCCTGGGACTCAATTCCCGCGCGTGCGCAGGTGACGACCCTCCCATTTAAAATATTTTTTTGATTAGATGGTTATGAACATTTACACTGTCTATATCATTGTGTGAGTACAACACAGATTGTGGCTAATGTTTTATCTTGTCTCACGCGATCGTGGCGTCATAATGAATACGTAAACTTGTTTCATGATTGGCGTTATTCACTATTTCTTAAATGTTGGTTTAGATCACAACATAGTAATCTTTATTTCAGTGTCACTGTCATGTAGATGTACACACACATTTAATAACAATTTATCAATTGACTACTTGTAAAATTAGAATCAATAAACAATATTCTCCCTTCAAATAAAATTCCATGCTTGCATGGAAAATGAATATTCATATTATATTAACGATGTCATTAAATTATGTTCAAAGGTGATTAGCCGTGTAGGGGATTATCACGGATAATGATGATTAAATTTACACCGTCTTCCATATATCATTAAAGATCAACAACAACTACTGACAAACACAGAAAGCCAGGATGCCTGGATACTCGTTACTATGGCAACACATGAAGCTAACAATGTAAAGTGTGTGTATTACGTAATCATTACTCAATTACTATCAAACATCATGGTACCAGTGAGCGACAACAATGAATTCATTCTGTATAGTTCATATTTCCCGATTTTACCGCAGGCTAGTGATTTGGTAATAACTTAAAGCCAAACGAAAGCGACTAATTCCGTGTTCCTGGCCATCTTTTCGGTTTATAATTAAATGGTGAAACAATTAATTCCCTGTTCTGTATAGTTGATATTTTCCGATTTTACAGTGGGCTATTAGTGATTTGGTAATGACTTGAAGTCAAGCGGAAGCGACTATTCCCGTATTCCTTGTTCCTGCCCATCTTTCTGGGTCCATAATTAAATGGTCTCTATTTTAAAGCAGGGGAGTCGTCACCTGCGCGTGCATCAGATGGCCATAGCGTGCCATTGTTTACAAACAAGCGTCTACCCATGAGCATTTGCGTTGTTAGCGTGTGTTGTTATCGTCGCTTGGGACTCAATTCCCGTGCTTGCGCAGGTGACGACCCTCCCGCTTTAAACCCAAGGACTACATCAGACAAGTGACATTGGTGTTATCTGGGATCATCTGTGTAAAAGTGTTATTGCATTTAACAACACGCTCACTGCATCTGCCAGAAAAAAATAAACGCTAATCGTTCTCCACAAAACCGCCGTATTAATAGGTTAAGACCATTTGTTTTAATGTCTGCATATCTTCCGCAGGCCCGCCCGGGCATGGCGAATTAGTTTGAAAGTGTACACCCGATAGTTAGGAAAGAGTGGGATATTACTGTAAAGGTGTGGGAAAATTAAAGTAAAATCACCTCTCTTGTAAAATAGTCTGATAAAAAGCTAGCACTTAAAATTCAATGCACTGATTTACGAATGAAGCTGTAGAAGAATCAGATTCTGTAGTCTCCTTCATCTCCTTCACGTACATCATCAAAATATCAGAATATGGCTTTTTTGTTTATTTTTAACAAATTTTCGTAAACAATCAATTTGCATATTAATTAGGGAATCTGCCACCAAGAGAGCACAATTTGCTTTCAAGAAATGTTATGTTGTCAATGAGAAATTCTAGCAAATTGGTAATGTAAATTTCAGTGTGAAATGTTTTGCATCAGTGTAACAAAGTAAGTAAATTGGAAAACAGATAACAATGTTATTTACGTGAATGAAAAAACGCAAGAGCAGAAATAATTAATTAGTTATTAGTGTCAGACCAGCCAATATTTTCTGATTCTAATTACAAACTACGATTGGATACTTTTATAATAATAATGGTCGTCATGGTCGCGCAGCGCGTGTTCGAATTTCATGTAAATAAACAATGTATTTTACACGCGTTGTAAACGTCGCTATGAGTCCCATATCGAACAGGACGCGGCACGACGACCACCACCCTTTAACCAACACTAAATTTTACACCTTCATAACAATTATTAATATTAAAATAAAACACAACTATTCATGTCTTATAGCTAACTTAATGTAACACACTTTCATAAGTATAATATATGAGCCCCGACATTATTTACTATTTTTTTCTCCTTTCAACAGGATTGACAATCTTTGGAATGTCGCTTTCGTGCGTCTCTAGCTTTGCAGGGCGATGGCTATTTGGAAAGTTTGGTTGTTATTTCCATGGATTCGCCGGAATGCTGTTTGGACTTGGAAGTATTGGCAATCTGACTGTTATCAGTATTGATAGATATATCATTACATGTAAGAGGAGTCTACGTAAGTATTACTTAAAGTATTTTCCCACCATCCAATGCGCTCTTCAATGTTAATCAACACAAATGTCGCACATGCGCAGCGCGACGATCACCGCCCTTTAAGCGGTTACTGTTACGTCAAACGTGGTGTCTGTCTTTGATCTGATTATGAAACACACTGATATGTATGATGTATGTGCCAAATACGAATGAAAATGGTACATAAATTGTGGAAATATAGTAGTAAGGCCAAAAAGTCAGATGGCTGTCAATTGGCCATTCTTGACCAGATTTTGAAACAAATTGTGGTCGCGTATTGAAAATATTTCATTATTTGACGTTTTCTATGTTTACTCATGTAATCAGAATTTTAATTATAAACTTCATCTATTCACAGAATGGTCATATCGCCATTACTACGCTCTACTCGCAGTAGCCTGGTCAAATGCCTTATTCTGGTCGATGATGCCGCTGTTTGGATGGAGCAGCTATGCGCTAGAACCAGAAGGTACATCGTGTACCATAGATTGGATGAACAACGATAATCAGTACATTTCTTACGTAAGTTGTGTTACTGTCACGTGTTTCATTCTACCGTGTGCCGTGATGACATATGATTACCTCGCGGCTTATATGAAGATGGTGAAAGCTGGATACACACTGAGCGAAGAAACAGAGAAACCGAACAACGATGGCGAAAACATTGAGAACATTGAAACTGGAACTCGTGTGAAAGGCGTATCCATTCGTGTCAATTCATTTATCCGTCCAGATTGGAAACAAACAAAGTATGCCACTAAGGTAACAATAATAATACTGTAATAATAATATTCGAATTCTGTGAAATTTTTACAATAATTTCATACAAATTGACATAATGTGGGCGCAAGTAGCATACAATATGAATCAAGGCATTGCTATAGGAATATGAACCACGGCATTTCTGTAATAATATTTTAACACATAATCTGACAAAACGCACCTGGCCGTAACCGCAAAATATCATTTCCCTATTTTGATTATTTTTCAGATGTGCATTGCCCTGGTTGCTGCATTCCTGTTGTCATGGTTCCCATCTGCCACTGTATTTCTCTGGGCAGCTTTTGGCAATCCGGGGAATATTCCATTATCATTCACAGGGGTGGCAGATGCCTTCTCCAAAATCCCAGCAGTCTTTAATCCTGTTATTTACGTCGCCCTCAACCCTGAATTCCGTAAATATTTCGGAAAGACGATAGGATGCCGAAGAAAAAGGAAGAAACCAATAGCTGTAAGACTCAATGGAAGTGAGCAGAATGTAGAAAACACGATTTAAATACGTAAATACGATTTAAGGTAGAGATGCAGTTTACCTGACAGGTATTATTAATTAGTTAATTAGGAAATCAAGATGACCTCCCTTGTCCACAAAACTATATATTTTCGGAAAGCTTATTGTATGAATTTTAAAGTTTTGTTAGTATTTTATTTTTATGAACACTGTAGTTTGAAATATGCACAAAAATGTGCTTTTTTGGTCAAAAGTGATTTTAAAAAAATAGCTTCTAAACCATGCTTCTGTTTCCTGTCAAAATTGATATATGGGTACATCTGTTTACGATGAAGAAAGCGCCGTCTTGAAAACTGTCTACCAGTTGTCAATTTTGTAGGGCAGCACTACTTCAAGTTTATGCATAAATTAACAGCCAGGCTAGTTGTCTGTAGATTGCTGTAACACTATTTAACTAAAAACAATGCCCCGACGACGGTTTGAAGATAAACACATTGTCAATCATTTGTGAAAATTTCAAAACAAAAGGTCAAAGCGTCTAGAAGCTATTTTTTTTTCTGGAATGTGCACTAAAAAGAAGCTAAGATAATTGCTAATTTGCATAACAATTAACTGAGTAAGAAGTTTGCAAATGCTCATAATTAAAATGGCTGTTACAGTTTCAAATTTAAATGTATTATCGTTTTGTAAAAAGTTAAATACAGTGCATAATATGGAGATTCCGTCATTTCTTTTTTTCACCATGTTTTTTTTTATTATTTTTGGACAGCCTTGCTAAATC